ATTGAAGAGAAGACCATTTTAATCCAGCAAAGGAAGACAGAGAGGGGAGTGCTGTCTGCCAGTTAGTTAGGGTGGGGAAGGGAGAGAACTAAACAGTCTGCAGGAAAGCAGAGCTGTTTAAGCTAAAGGATAGTGTTGGCACGACAACAAATGAATATAAATTGGCTGTGAATAAATCAAAGCTAGAAATTAGTTGCTAACCAGCAGAAGAGTGAGTTCCTAGAAGCGCCTTCCACTGGGACCATAGGGAGCTGATCACCAAGGTACTTGGAAGCTGAAGCTCTGTTCATGACCAGGATTATGTGCAGTGGGACTTGCCATAGCAAGGGGATGGGCCTGATGACTAGGAACCTGTTTCTAACTGTATGTGGGTTTAAGGACAAATCTACATTCCCTATGCAAAACACAGAAATAAAAGTGTTCCCTGCAGGACTTGCAGGTCAGGGACAGCTAATCCCCTTCCAAACCAGCTTCAGAGCTTTCCAGTCTGGTACTGCCAGACACAGCCTCTGCATATGTCCTCTCTGTGGGCTCCACAGCTCTCATGCAGCTGCGGGATGAGCTGTGTTTAGCAGCTGCTCCACTGCGATGCCTCTTCACCTTTCACACTTTGTCCCCTATGCATCAAAGTCAGCAGCTCTGCTGGTTCTGCTTTTTGTGGCAGTACAGTACAGGGGGAGATTTTTGCTAGAAGATGGTTTAAATGCTGCCTCTGCTTAATGTCAGTGGTGAGGTCAAGTGAGAAGTTATTTAGCAACTCCTTTTTAATTTTTTAAAATAGAGGGAGATGGCTGTGAAAAGATAAAAGTCCGAAGTTGTCATTGTATAACTGAAATTGAACCTAATTTTGGCAATGGTGATACACCTTTCACTCAACCACTGACTTAGCACATTATACCAATACAACATGGTCTCTTCCCAGTTTCCTCCTACACTCTAGGGTAGCATGTCTAGGTTAGAAAACAGAAATGTGAGATTCTCCCAGTATATTCTGCTCTTGCCACCAAATAGCACTTTGCTTGCAGATGCAATCTCAGTTGAAGTGACATTCTTTTTCTGATGTTCCTAAGTTTTTACACTGGTATGGAGAGGCTTTTCCTCCTTCTGTTTGACTACTGTGCGAGGACATTTGGCCTTTGTTGAATATCTATTCTATTTTATTGAATATCTAGCAGGTACCATGCAGTCAGCTAGGACATGTGCAGATTCTTCTTTCTTATAAAAACCCTCTTGGAGGAGGGAAATGGAACACTAAGATTATTGCAGATCCTACCTCCAGTGTCACCTCATCTTATCTGCTACAATATTGAGTAACAGGTACAGTTAGTATAGATTATATGAGAACATGCATGATTTAAGACATTCCCTTTTCAATAGTATTTCTTACCATTTAAGTATTTATTCTTCCAGGATACTGTGGATTGAATTTCCTGTTACCTCTGGTTTTTGAGATTGCCCGGTAGAGATGACAGGCAAACTTCAGCCTTAATTTCAATTAATCCGGTGGGGTTTTATGCTCTGGAATTGAAACCCATCTCAGAACTTCCTCCTTCAAAGGCAGGTCATTCTGAGACCAAAATCAGTATTTAGTTCAGCTCCCTCTGACTGGATGATAATAACAACATTTTTTAAAGAATAGAAAATGAGCCAGGACAAACAGACATTTGGTAATAAGCATTGAAGTAGCATGAAAGTGACTGGTATTCTGCAAATGACCCCTGTTCAGCAGCTTTTTGGAGCTGTGTGCAATGGGAGATAGCTTGTAGAATTCCAGCTTTTAATGGGGGCTTTTTTTTTCAGGTCAGAAATTCTTAATAATACAGAGCTGATGCTTCAGAGCCTTATGATGGCAAACCTGACACTAGGGAGTAATATCACTTGCTTTCATGCAGCTATTTACTGTAATAAGGATTACGGACATAAGTAAAACTTGCAGGTTTGGGTCCACAAAATTAGAAGAAAAGCCTTTTCACACCCTGAAACTGCATCAAAATTCAATTTCACCAGGAAAAAAAATCCTTCTGATCTAGTCCCTGGAATGTGACATTTCATGGGTGTAATAAGGTTACAAACAGATTATAAACTGAAACCCTATAATTCCTTATTGTACTGTACCAAAGCTTCTGCTTTGCATAATACTCTAATTCCTGACTGTTCTTTGTTTTACAAGCTCAAAACTGTTCATTTCCTCTCATAATAGAGACCAGGGAGCCAAAAACACCGTGTAAAATCCAAAGGTAATTATCTGAGTCAAAGAACCTGAATGCCAGAGTTCACAAACTTCTGAACTTCTCTAAATGACATTGTTTGCACAGTGAGACCTCCCTCCTCTTTAAACATGTTGTAAAAATTGCACATTCTTTCTGTCAAATGATAATGGTAAAAAATCCCAGTTTAGATTCAGTTCATGGTTTGCATTTGTGTAGTTCTGCCTATATGTCCATAGCAGATGACTGATGAGTTTTCTCATCATAACTTGAGCAAGTGAGGGTGTTTGAATCTCAGGATGACAAATACTGTGAATCTCCTTACCTAAGAATACTGCTGGTGCTGTTTTTCTAGCAAGTGTCTTCCTCCAGACCAGACTTTCTGTATTTGGAGATGTTTGTAGGGCTGCTAAAATATGACCCCTCTGCAAAAAGCAATTAAGCAGCTCACCTGTGAACCAAATAATTTACCAGATTAGCAGATCACAGGCTCATTTATTCCAAGCTTTCCCTAAAGGTGAGGATCCACAGAAGGATTGAATGAGAAAGAGATGGATTTGCAGGTGAACTCTCAGGGGGCACTTGGTAGCATCAGAGCAATGAGGAAAAGCAGCACAAAGAGGGGTTTGATTGTAGGAAGATCAGAGAACCTAGGAAAGGATTGATGGAGTAAGAGAGCAGGGCAAATATAAATGGAGAGCCACAGTTGTGAGAGACCAGAGGACGATCACAAGATATTTGACAGGTAAGCCAGTGATGGAGAGAGGCAAATGATCATCACCACTCTTGTCAAGCTTTGTCAGCTGCTGCAGTGAGCCTGGGCTGGGGAGGGAGTGAAGAAAGGATTTTTAGGCCCATGAGAAAGGTCAATTTCAGAGGATTCTCATGCTGTTAAAGGTTAGAGGTCTAGAGCGCAGGGAGCAAGCTGATTTGCAGGGACAAAGAGAAAAAACTGTCCTATGGAGATTTTCTCTGAAAGAGCTTCCAGGGTGCCTGAGTGTCCACACAGCAGGAGGTCAAAGGAGGTGCTGTGGTGAAGTGATTGATCCAGTCTTGAGGTTTGTTGTATCAAATAGAAAGCCTGTGTCACACACTCAAGTTTCATCCCCCTTGTGGCTGTGTAGGTTTAACCACATAGCACACAGTCTGTTATGTTTACAGAGAGATTTGGCTATGAATTACTTGAATGCATTTAATGTTGTCCTGTTACTTCTTTCTCTTTCAAGAAATAACACACATTGCCCTCAATGAAATCTTTTGATGCCATTTCACAGAGCAGGGTATGTGTATGCTTCTGTCACAGGTGTGTATATTATGAATACAGATCTGCACTCGGAACATTAACTCCTGCAGATTACAAGTCGTATGTTACCCATCACCTCTGCTCTGTTCATGCATCCTGTGCCCCATAACAACTTTTAAAAAATGGCAATAAAGTTTCAGAAAAAGATCTGTCATCTTTTACAAGCATGTCTGTTTTCCATGGCAGTGGTGCATAATTTTGAACATACATCATTTTATGTGGCTTTCTGACCGATTTCAAGACATCAGAAAAGATTGGGATTATCTTCTTTGTGTTCCAGTATGAGCTAATGAGTTTCTATATAGCTGGAATTTTCTGTGGGCCCATTATGGAACAGATACAGATTTCATCCCTGTGCTGTGATCAAATAAAACTGGAAAGATTTTTTGGTGGTACCTTAGTGGGAATAATGTCATTCGCTGAGTAATGCAGCCATCTAGCGGCACAATGACAGAAGTACGGCAGTGTGGATGATACCTCCAAGAGCGTCTGGGAGAATAAGTCGGGAAACTCGTAGTGGAAAAAAGACTCTGAAAGTCCAGGTGCAGTTTTCTCTTCTTTGTTTTCTAAAGATGTGCAAAAAAAAAAAAAAATTCAAACAGTTAAACCTTTTAAAAAACCAAACCAATTTTGAGTCTGGCCCTGCTTCACCTGCTTGTTTCTATTCAAACACATAGAGAATTAAATCCATTTTAAAATGCTTTTCTGAACTAGATTTTAGTGAAAGAAACAGAGCAAGCTAATGTTGTGAAAGAGTACAAGGTATACAACCCTGTCCTGCTTCTGGGTACACTCATGTGGATGACACTGACCATAGAAAGACATGCCTGTGAGTCAGCAGGGCTGGGGCAGCTGTCACTCCCGCACACATTCAGACAGAGGCAATCTTGGCAACGGCAAAAACTGGTTTGATGTATGCTTCCGTACTCAGAGTTTATATTCACAGTATATAGGGACTTATTTCCACTGCCATGACCCGTACATTTATTGAACCAAATACATTTACTGAAAGAAAATATGGCTAGCAGGGAATGAGTTAAAATTCGGGGTGGAAACTTGGTTTAGCTGTTCTGTTGATTTTTGGGTTGGAGAATATATTTCTAAAGGCCTGATTTTGTAAATCTTGTTTATATTGAGCAGCACTTAAGTAACACTTCCCTGCTCTGCAAAAGCAGTACCCAATGTGAATCACACAAGTGGAGCCATGCATGAGATTATCCAGGATCCTTTTATCAGCTTGAATCACTGAGGCCTGGTCCACAGCCTGTTGATCTCAGTAGAAGAAAATTCATGGGCCTTAGTGGACTTCCAGTAGGATCCATAATTTGAACCCTGTGGTCACTTGGAAGCGCAGATTATCTTATTCTTTCAGTACCACAAGGACCTGGTTCACACCTGAATCTCTGGTGCTCTTCCAGTGCAAAATTACAATAAGGCTGCAGCTGATGTTGTGTTTCTGTTAAACTGTAACCTCTATTCTACCTGAACAGCATATCAACAATGACCACATACATGGTGAGAAGAAAGAGTTTGTGTGCCGATGGCTGGACTGTTCTCGGGAGCAGAAACCTTTCAAAGCTCAATATATGCTGGTGGTCCACATGAGGAGACATACAGGGGAAAAGCCACACAAATGCACTGTAAGTAAAGAGGCGACGGCTCCAGGTTTGTACAGGGAAGCAGGAGCTGTGCAGAGAACAAACAGCAGGATGAGTGCTGCATTCCCTGAGCTCTTGTCTGTCAGACTCTTGTGGAGAAGAGACTGCCATGTCTGCTTTGTTATCCAGCACGACCAGATGAAAAAAGCTTTAAGATAGGGGATTCCCTGGATGATTTGGCCCACTTCCTTAAGTTTAAAGTACAAAGAAACTCCAAAGGGCATAATTAAACAGGGCTCAGTTTACCTAATTATTTAAAGGCACTTTCTGTTACACAGCTTCTGCTGGCCACCAGTCTCCTGATGGCTTTGCAGTGGATTTCAGTCTTAGTTGAAGTACACAAATACTTCTCTTCTGTAAGAGAAGATTTACATAATGCTGAAAGCATTTTAACTTGAGTTGCGGTAGAGTTTGCTTGGATAAAATTAAAACCCTTCAAATCAAAACTACATTGGACAAGGTTACAAAGGCTTGGAAAATTTCTAAATTTTTTTAAGTCCACTTTTACAGTTTCCTGCAAGTCCAAAGATTAAAACTAAACCAGAACTATTTCTCTTCTGCAGTTTGAAGGTTGTACAAAGGCCTACTCCAGATTAGAAAACTTGAAAACGCACTTGAGATCTCACACTGGAGAGAAACCCTATGTGTGCGAACATGAAGGCTGCAACAAAGCTTTCTCCAATGCATCTGACAGGGCCAAGCACCAAAACAGGACTCATTCCAATGAGGTAAGTAAGCACAGCTTCAAAAGATTAATATAATTCTTTGCTGAACAGACTTACAGTTGGTCAATATAAGCAGTGTATTACAAGAGGATAGGCACAGCAACCCTCAGCAACCTAAAAGGAATGCAAGTTCTGAATGCCTCTTAGCAGCACAGTATGTCATACAGACCTGGCATTTTATTACATGTAGGAGAGTTTTGAACAAGTGAGTCTAATTGAAACATATGTATTAACCAGGGACAGATCCTGTTTTCCCTGTAAAGCTGGAATTATTTTTCCCTCTTGAGCTGGAAGGGTTCATTGAGTGCCTGGACCCGTCCCCATGCTGTGTTGGCACCAGGCATGTGCTGGGATGCAGCTTCCCCAGCATACTTTGGGGTGCTGCAGACAGCTGCAGTCTCCTCATTTGAAATCATTGGTTGCCGTTTAAGGTCTGAGTTACGCCTTTTTCTTCTTCTCTGGCCTCTCTCACTCTTCCTTTCCAATCCTGAACAGACCTCATGGACTAGGGATGCAGCAGAAGAAATATGATCTTTCTTGAGGAAACCAGCTTTGGCAGTCACAGCTGTTGCCAAACTCTCAGTGCAACATCTCATTATTACTGTGTTTCCTCTTACTGCTGCCTCCTTTTTTGGGAATCATTCCATCTTCTAGCATTGTCCTTGTTTTATTGCCCCATTTCAAGTTGCACAGAGAGCGGCATCACCTCAATCTCACATCTCAGAGTCCACACTTTCCTCCTTGACATGTCCCTATACTCCTTCACCTCTAGCCTAAACTGGGAAGTACTGGAAGGGCCGGACATACCATAGCAGCCATATCTATTTCCACACAGCTTGTATCTTTCTCTAGCTGGCTGTCAGGTCTGTCACAGGCATGCACTAGGGCCAGCAGATCTCCAGGGGGCATTCATCTTCTTCCAGTCCCCGCCCTGCAGCATCTCTTCAGTCACAAAGGAAGCAGACGGCATTGCATAGCTCTGAGTTCCCTCGTCTCTGCCGTGTGTGTTTTCAGCAGCCCAACTAATAATGGCTCTGAAGCCCTGCAGTGATTTCATGAATGGTCACCAAGGTAGAAGGAAGTTCACCAAGTCTTGCCAATAGCTGCCTGAGCTTTCTTTTTTCATTCACTGTCTGAACCAATCTGTGTGCTGCCTAGGTGATGGGTTAAACCTTCTCACACTTAGCGATGTGACCTGCCCCTGTTTAAGATCAGAATTTTGTGTCTACCAGTAAGTCAATCAGAGAAATTTTATGCTGAACATGATTTCTGATAGGTGCAGCCACAGGGGCAAATGAAACATTTCCTTCACCATTATTTCACACCAAAACAGGCTAATCTTTTAAGGCAGCATATGCTGGTGGAGTGATGTGAATACAGTGAAAAGCACAGACCAAATTCAGCATTTGCTTGCTATGCCATTTTGGTTTTAAGTAGGTAACGTACAGAGAGCTTTAAAAGCAGTTGACATATCTTGATGACGATATCCTTACTCATGCAGAAGAGAGCTAAGTGACTTATACTTCCATAGCAACATGAGAAAACCTGCCTCAGTAGCTCAACATCATCTCTAAATTGCTCATTTTTGCTCCTATTCAAGTAAATGGGAGGGTTTTTTCCACTGGTGCCAGATGAAGCGGTCTCAGGCCTTGGACAGCTATGACGAAGCTATATTTGTCAAAGGCTCCACAGTGCCATGTATAAGGAGACAGAGAATCCCTCTGAGAAACTCTGCATGAAGGTCTCTTTCAATTTTTTTGAAGACTAGGATAAAAAAACCCTTTAAAATAGTAGTTTATTTGAAACAATTCAGTAATGAAAATGAGTGAACAATACTTTGCTTCCCGAGGCAATTGAAGGATTTAGGAAGTGCTCAGCTCTTCTTTCTAATCCCTTCATAATGCAAGAAAAAAGGCTTTGTTAAGGCTTTATTTATAAGACAGTAAATTTACTTTATTCTACATTGCTTAGTTAGCTATAGAAATCCACAGATAAAGAAAGTGGTTTCTAAAAAAAATGAGTGATGAGTTATGCTAGTAGCAGTAATAATAGTACTAGAGCATATATTGCTGCAACGTGAAAGTGTTCATGGCACTGTATCTTATGTTTTGACATCGTACTGGTGATCTGAAGGAGCCAGAAAAAAAAAGCTTCCTCACTTAATTCTGCCTGAACAAATGGCCCAGCATCTCATGAAGGAGGTTATTTCTCTCAGTGTCAAGTAGCAGGTACTAGGCATACTGGGAACACTATCAAACTGCTGAGGGCAACGGACAGGGTTGAAAATTAAAGCAAGTCTTCATAAATTGCCATAGCTGAGTTGACTCTTCTGCTAAGATAAGTGAAAGCTGTGCCAGTTGGTACCCATGAGACTCTGCCCTCAATCAACTGTACAGCACTAGTTGCAACCTTCTGAACCAAGGGGAACTAATAGTTTTGACTAGGTGCAGTCACAATTTGATAGGACAAGTGTGATGGCTTTAAACTGGAAGAGGGTTGATTTAGATTAGTTATAAGGAAGAAACTGGTTACTGTGAGATAATGATGCACTGGTAGAGGTTTCCCAGAGAAGCTGTGGATGCCCCATCCCTAGAGGTGTTCAAAGCCATGTTTGAATGTGGCTTTGACCAAGGAGTCCTTGCCCATATTGGGAAGGGAGTGAATAATTAGATAACCTTTAATGTCCCTTCCAACCCAAACCATTCTATTATTCATTTGTAGAGACCATAGGTTAGGTAACAAATTCACCGTGAAAGTATATAACTGTGACACCAACTGTGCTCCAAGGAGCCCTTCAGGAGTCCCACATGGAATAAAATCCAATATGGGTGGGTTTTGTGTCTTGTCAGAAACCATATGTTTGCAAGATACCGGGCTGCACGAAGCGCTACACAGACCCCAGCTCTCTCCGGAAGCACGTGAAGACCGTGCATGGCCCAGAGGCACACGTCACCAAGAAGCAGCGGGGAGATATCCACCCAAGGCCTCCGCCACCAAGGGACCCAGGCAGCCACTCTCAGACCCGGTCACCAGGCCATCAGACTCAGGGTGCCATTGGTGAGCAGAAGGACCTCAGCAACACTACCTCAAAGCGTGAAGAATGCCTCCAAGTGAAAGCGGTCAAGTCAGAAAAACCAATGGTATGCAATACACTGTGCCACTCCCCCTGTCCTTTTCTTCCTGCAACCAATTAATAATCTCTTTACTAAATGCTGTAAACTGTAAACTCTAGCTCACAAGGTTTGGTTTTATGAGGTCTTCTCCTATGTTTACATTGTAAAATGTTTTTAAAGCCTAAGAAATAGCAAATAAAAAGATTACAAATAGTCTGTGCAATATAGAATAAGTGCAGTGCTGGCAACTGCCACAATAATTGTTTCTTTTAAAAAGCTCCATCTTCTGGAATGAGCAGAGTATGAGAAAATCAGAGTTTTTATTTTAAAAAGTAAACATTTTTTCCACTCTTCTGTTTCCAGAAGAAAGATTAATCTGAATCTTGCAGGCTGAAAGCCAGAATTTAAAAAAAAAAAACAAAAAACCACCAAACCAAACCAGAAGTCCAAATGACTAAAATTATGATATTGATGATCATCATTTTTTGAGAACCTAGGAAAGCAATCATATTTTGGGGGCTTGAGGCTTTTGGGTCATGGATCAAACTGAAGCAGGATGAATTGACTTTTTTAAACAGCAGATGGGCATCTTTTAATAACGTCTCTGTTGTGATGTGACCTCTGATACTTACTCAAGTTAACCTAGTCCAAGTTTAACTAAATCAAGTTGAATTGACAGTCTGCAGGTCTTTTCTCTGGTTTACCTTAACGTATTACATTAAACTGTTGAAAGGACTGTATTCCATTTTTTGAGATGCTGTCTTAAATACACAAGTCCTTTCATTTGCTTGAATTTCCTGTGCCATCTGCCCTCTTCACAGGGTTAATTCAAAGGCAGCCACTCCATCCTCTTCCCCATCTGGGTCTATGATTCATCTGTATCCAGCCCTTGGGGACTACAAATATGAGCCCTCCAAATTCTGCTCATTCTGCTAATCATGCTGCAATTCAAAGTGATTACTCACTGAAATATGAGTTACTGCTATGTTGTGCCTAAGGCTTATGCTCAAACTGTTCAGTATTAATAGTGAATTCAAAACCTTTGAAGGGCTGATGATAAGCTCCTGTTGAAGTCTAAAGGAGGTCCTCTGCCATCTTTGGTGATAACCACCTTAGTTTACAAAGGAGCAAAACCTCTTCTGCTTTGCTAGGTAAACATGTAGCATTATTGAGGAATGTTAAACACAGTTTTAACAGGAAAAGTTTTAGAAGATGGGTACTAATGCCTATAGCTTACATAGTATTAAATAATTCTCAGTGAAAATTATATTTTAAAAATAATTCTGTGTTTCTTGCTTTTCACTGCATGTATGAATTAAGGAATATTTTCTGGTTTTCAACTAATCCAATGTCTTTTCTGTCTAATGCTCTTAAATGTCTTATTCTAACTTCCTAAGGACAGTGGGTAATAAGGTGAGGGCATTTTAACTTTTCTGCTATTTTTCTTATTGCAACAATATATATGTTTTTATTTTAGTCTTCTGTCTGTTGTTCAGTCATTTCTTTATTTAGTAATGTGCAATCCATCAAGTGCATTCCCAGTTGTAATGTGTTGTGAACATTTTGCAACACTTGACATGTGAAAAATCTGGCTTATATTGGTGAAATATCTTCAGAAATGTCTTTGTACTTTCCCCTCTAGATGAGACATCCATTTGTTTTGTGTATTACACATCTAGAAATTTATGTCCTGCATAATACAGTTGTTGTTTGTGTACCCTACCTCACTGTGATCTTGACATGTGCTACAAGAACAGGCTCCTGATCACTATTACTCTTCTTCCATATGGCATGGATCTATTGTCCAAAAGCATAAACTTTCTTCCATATAATAACTGTTATTTCTATTCTTGTCACCAAATCCACTATGGCCAGGATTTGGAAATGAACTTGCTCAGTGTGGCCTCATAAATTCTAAGCATCATCATTCAAGTTAGAAATAATAATATAGTTATTGAATCTCAAATGTACTCCTTAGGGGCATATGAAACTACAGTAGTGCCATGAATCTGTGTGTTCATTCATTGATGTTTAAAGTGAGAGTCGTCTCTGGCACTTCAGAAATTCTAGACAGCATTTTTCAGTAAAACGTACATAAAGATCACAGAGTGGTAGAAAAAAAAACCCAAAGAACAAAACCACATCAGAAGCCCTTAAAGTTAAATACTTACATGAAACTGCTCTTGTGAGCAAAACGATACTGCATGCCCCACTGATTTGTGATCACACTGATAGAACCTTACAGTGAGATATTAAGTCCAGAGACTTCTGTCTGTCTTCCTCTGTTTTGTCTGTCAGTTTGTTAATTTTCCCATTCTTTTGAGAGAACTTTAGTAAAAGTCTGAAAAGTAAATCAAGCCTGTGTTTCCCCACAGCAAAAGTTCTGCTAGAGCAGCAGGGAACACTCCCTGTTAAGAAAGATGTTATTGTGGCATGTTTATATTCCTGCAGATCAACAGTCTGTATTGTCTACTTAAATTCTTGCACTTGAAATCTTAAATTCTGATGAAACAAAGGATTTGATTTAGTAGATCATCACCTGCTTGATTCAGGGCAGAGGTGGTATAAGTTAGGTATAAGAGGAGGTATAAGTTAATCCCTGAGTGCTGCCAGGGTCACGGGATGCTGATAATATGATACAGTATTTTTTGCACTGATGCTTTGTCCTTGTTTTATTACATGCCAACATTTCAAGCCAACCACTGCTTGTAACAGTGAGCCCTAAGCCTGGAAAATGCTTACATTTTTAGCCACAAGTCTAATTAAAAAACCAAAATTCCAATGTTATTGGAGTCTTGTTTATTTGTTTGTTTGCAAGCTTAGCAGTGTAAACTAATACCTTGTAACATGGCTGAATTCTGCTTTGGTTTTTCTGAGCTGCAGCTTCAGTTGGGAACAGCACAAAAGCAAAGTAGGGTATCCATCCATACATAAATGGCTTGAAGTGATAGAAGTAATTCTGGGAATAACTCCAATAAATGTCTTATGGAGATCTATTGTATACCATCAGCAACATGTGAAAGGCAATTTTAATCTTGTGTTTTACAATGCCCTTCACTGCAGCTGAAGCCAATATCTAGAAAGTCTCCTTAAGAATGATCACTGTTATCATTTAAGGCTGGACTTTTCTATGCCTGTATCTTTGGCTCCATTTAACCTTCATTTAGCACAAATGCTCTGGTTAACATTGTTTGCTTAATCCTCACACTCTTGTCTCTTACTTCCCTCCAACAGACATCTCAGCCAAGCCCTGGTGGTCAGTCTACATGCAGCAGCGAACAGTCCCCCATCAGCAACTATTCCAACAATGGGATCGAGCTTACTCTGACCAGTGGTGGTAGTATAGGAGACCTCAGTGTCATCGATGAAACCCCAATCATGGACTCTACCATTTCCACAGCCACCACAGCACTTGGCTTACAGGCCAGGAGGAATATGACAGGGACCAAATGGATGGAGCAAGTGAAATTAGAAAGGTTGAAACAAGTTAATGGAATGCTTCCAAGACTGAACCCCATTCCACCTTCCAAAGCCCCAACCTTGCCGCCTCTCATAGGAAATGGTGAGATGCACATAAGAGGAGTGATAACGCTTTTTATCTTTAATCTTATTGCTTGCTAGCTCAATCTTGCAACTCTTGCAGGAGTTGCACAGCTTACAAAACTCAACAGCTGTGAAACGGTTTGTATAGATCACTTTCTGTTTATTCCCTCATCGCAAGTTCTTCTACCCACCCTCTGAGAAGTCTGATAGTCCTGTGTTTTACAGAACAGGAGATAGTGAGGGAGCCATGAATCACATTTTAAATATTCCCTAGTTAAAGGTTTTGACCCAAGATAATCATAATTCTGTCTTGTTTTGAGATAAGGCAGAAGAAATAAATACCTGTGAGTTTACTGTATGGAAGTCTTTCTGCTGAGGCCTTTGCAAGGCAGGCTTTGCAAGGCAGCCTTTCCAGAGATGTGGTAGGTTTCCCTTTAAATAACCTGTTCCTACACATAGAACAAATCATATGTACAGATGCTACTGCTGCGGAGGACAGCAGTATGAATAAGAGGCTGAACTCTGAAGATCCTCGGTTGTTTTCCTCCAAAGAGCTGCTCATGACCAAAATGGATGTTGCTGCTGCCCCTACTCGGCCTACAGCATGCCTGTAGGTTTCTGGGCTCCACCCAGCAGTGGCAGCCCAGGTTTTCTGAGACCCATTCAATCAAAAGAAACTATGTAAAATTAAGAAATGTATCCTGTTTACTTAAAACCAAACCAAAACAAAACAAGGAAACCAGCAAAGATGTTTTGCAGTTGTTAGGAGTTATTTTAAGAATATTTCAAGAAGTCTGAAATGACCTTGAATAGCCTCTAATTTGTATATTTTGCTTTTCCATGCAAATGCCTGTTCAATTATATTTTGCCTATAAAAAGCTCCCTTACGAATGTGTCCTCCTGGCACATCAGCCAGCATAGCTGCACTGCAGGCTGGAGCACTGCACCAGCTGATGACAATTTGTGGCTATGGGCTATAAATTTTCTGCTGGGATTCACACTGAAATGTTACCCTTGAGTCTCTGAATTAGCTTTTAACCTGAGGACGCAGTTTTTCTCTCTACTTCTTGCAAGAAAGAGCCCTGATATAATTGGCTGTGATGATGTTCTTCCTCTATACTCCACCTACTTTGTTACTTTGTGTTTTCCTCACCAGTTTCTGGATAATACCTCTTTGTTTAACTGTGAATTTTACCCGCAGGTACCCAGTCGAACAGCAGCTGCAGTGTCGGAGGATCCATGACTATTCTGCCAAACAGGAATGAGCTCTCCAGTACGGACATCACTGTGTTGAACATGCTGAACAGGAGGGACAGCAATACTAGCACAATCAGTTCAGCCTACCTGAGCAGCCGCAGGTCCTCTGGAATCTCACCTTGCTTCTCCAGCCGGAGGTCCAGCGATGCCTCCCAGACAGAGGGAAGACCGCAGAATGTGAGCGTTGCAGACTCCTACGACCCCATCTCAACGGATGCCTCCCGGCGCTCCAGTGAAGTGAGCCAGTGTGATGACCTGCCAAGTCTTCTCAGCCTCACCCCAGCCCAGCAATACAGGCTGAAAGCTAAATATGCAGCAGCTACTGGTGGACCCCCACCAACTCCACTGCCTAACATGGAGAGGATGAGCCTCAAGACAAGGATGGCACTCTTGGGTGACTGCAGGGAGTCTGGAGTATCTCCACTGCCTCCAGTGAACATCCCTCGAAGATGTAGTGATGGTGGGGCAAATGGTTACAGCAGGAGACATTTTCTGTCTCACGAAGCCTTAGGAAATGGGACAAGGAGAGCCAGTGATCCAGTCAGAATGGCTTCCGACAACCTCTCTGTCCCACGAGTCCAGCGTTTCAACAGTCTTAATAGCTTTAACACTCCTGCTTTGCCTCCATCCATGGAAAAGCGCAACCTTGTTCTTCAGAACTACACCCGTTCTGAGGGTGGCGTCTTCCGCGGCTTCAGCTCTCCCTGTCCTCCAAGCATCAGCGAGAACGTCGCCCTGGAGGCTGCTACAATGGAAGCAGGTAGCAGTCTGAATGATGAGGATCTCCTGCCAGATGATGTGGTCCAGTATCTGAATTCCCAGAACCAGGGCATGTACGACCATTTGTTGAACAATGTTCTAGATAGCAACAAAATGCATCACAGCTCAGTTTCAGGAAACAACAATTCCAGCAACTTTGACCAAGCCCCTACACCGAGCAGTCAGCAAGCGGGTCCTGAGGCAAATAAGAGTGACTTGCCCATTCAGTGGAATGAAGTAAGCTCAGGAAGTTCTGACTTATCTCCGTCAAAGCTGAAATGTGGTCAGCGGTCAGCAGTGCAGCAGGCTCGGGCCTTCAGACTACATAACAATATGATGGTTCAGCAGCAGAACCTGGAGAGAAGCAACATAGCCCAGCAGAATGGCTATCAGAACCTGATAGAGAACACCACTTCCTACAGTTTACAGCAAAATATGACTCCTGCCAGCAGAGCCGGGAATTCTTTCAGCATGCAGCCCAACAAACCTTACAGTGAAACCATGGGCAGGCAAGCAATGATGTCTGGGGTGACAGACAATTCCTGTGGCATGGCAGTGCAAGGGCAGAAGCTGAGAATCAGCAACATGCCAGTGAATGGGAGCCAGCAAAATTTCAGCCATCCCCTGGCATCCAGTGATCAAACCACCAGTATGGCAAATGGGATGCAGGACAGGAATATGATGGAACAGGAATATTTGCAAAGCCAGCCAGTCGGAGATGGAGTTCGTTACCAGGGAGCCAATCAATCTGGTCAAATGATGCTAGGGCAGGTTAGTCCTACCTCACAAGGCAGCCTGTATCAAGGGCCACAGAGTTGTCCACTGGTGTCTCACACCATTGGTAGCCAGCCTTCAGGTTTGTCAGTGGCCAAAAGTTACCAGTCATGCTCTAATTACAACAGCAACAGACGGCAAAACGTGTTGAGAAACAACCTGTCCCAACAGCAAAGACACATAGATGATGGCAACCAGACATACAGGGTAAACACCATTAAGATGGAAATGCAAGGTCAATCACAGCAGTTCTGCTCTAACATACAGAATTACTCTGGTCAGTTATATGACCAAACCATGGGCTTTAGCCACCAAGCTATGAAAACAAGTTCTTTCTTTGGTTCAGAAGCCAGCTGCCTGCTGCAGGGGACTGCAACAGAAAACTCATCTGAGCTTCTTTCCCCGGGGACTAACCAAGTGTCAAGTACAGTTGACAGCATTGACAACAACAGTCTAGAGGGTGTGCAGATAGATTTTGATGCTATCATAGATGATGGGGACCATGTCAGCTTAATTTCGGGAGCCCTGAGCCCAAGTATCATTCAAAATGTCTCCCGCAATTCCTCACGCCTCACCACTCCCCAAGCATCTCTTACATTCCCAGCTATGCCTGTAAGCACAACCAACATGGCTATTGGGGACATGAGCTCTTTGTTGACCTCACTTGCAGAAGAAAGCAAGTTTCTTGCTGTTATGCAATAGACATAAAAAACAAAAAACACTTAGGAGATAACAGATGGAAAAAAGACTCATATTTTTTAGTTGTGTATGTATTTTAGCAATCTCATCTCACCTAAATGGGATGTGTTTCAAGTATATTCCTTTTATGGAATAAGGACTCTGAAAACCCTAAAGTGTTCTAGGGAGAAACTGTCTTCCATTTCAGTTTTGAATCAGTATTGCTATGCCCATTCCCTCCCTTTCTCTCTCTCTCTCTCGTGCCCTTTTCAAATGTCTGTATGCTTCTTTTATTTTTGTTTTATTTTTTACCTGTAAACCAATGTAAACGTGTGAAGTGCATGTTGTGGGGTTTTTGTTTTGTTTTGTTTGGGGTTTTTTTTGTAAAGAAAGGCCTGATGAAATGATAATTTTCTGTTACTCAAATGAAGCTAGACCTTGTAAAACTCTTGCAACTTTTCCTCTTGAACCTATAACCAGGCACAATGTGAAGTGAGCATACAGTGATGAAATCCTCTCTGGATGCACTGGACACATCACACTGAGGTGGAAAACCAGCTTAGAAATGCACTGCCATGGTACCCCTGGGCTGCAGTTTCACACACAGAGATAGCGGTCACTGCCTTGAATAACAATACTGAACTTGTGCCATGTTTGACCTATTTCAGAGGAAGGAGAGGACCAGAAAGCTGTTTGTTGTCCAACTCTCCTCTTTTGCAGTATTTGGTATTCTGGTTTTCAGCCTTCTTTTTTAAATGACTGAATAGCAAAATTATGGGCGTGTATAGTGACTTTGGTAGTCTACAGTCTTCCCATTGCATACCACATTTGTGGAGATACAGTCAGGGTGTTATTAAGTATTTCATACAATGAAATCACAAAATTACAGTTTTTCATACTGGGGAATTAATTTTTTTTTTTTAATGCAAATTGTTCAGGTTTAACTTGCTGAGCCACTGGTTCTTATTTAGTGGAAGAACTGTATGTATATCCCCTTTAGCCCAAACAGCTCCATGGATACATAGAGTTTCAAAAACATCATGGGCATGTCATGTAAAAGAAGTAGAAAATGAATGACTGGCCCAGTTCTCAGACTAGCCAAATAAATCAAAGCAGTTGCAAGCAATCTGATAATCTTAAATGTTTTTCCACTGTGTCCAGGCTTTACAAAATCAAGAAATTAGAACTGCCATTAAAAATAGCAAATAAACAAGGGGAACAGCAAGTATTGAGAGATCACAGACTATTCTGATCTGGAATTATTATCAGGTCCAGCTCTTCAGTGAATGGCCTGTATGAGGATCAAACCCACAACTTTGATGCTATTAGCACTGTGCTCTAACCAACTGAGTTGTCTGGCAACTAATCAAAGCTCAGAAAGACCAACCCAGCTTCTTTCTCTCTCTCTTGGTGACACCATGTGCATTTAATTTCCAAGCAAACCAGTGGGTCAATGCCTAGGGTCAGTTACACCAGCAAAAAATTGAAACCAACGCACTGTGATCATTAAGCTACTCACTGGTAGAGGTGAATGGCATTTTCTCTATGAGCACTGGCTTGTTTTTGGCTCGGCTGGGCTCCATGTCTGCACCCATGAGTATGCTCCTGAGTGGTTATGCTCATGAGGCTGCTGTGGGGAGCAATTACAAGACCACAGCTTAAATTCACCCACTCCAAGAAGCTGCATGGAGTTCCAGCCCTTGAAAACTTCTCAATTAAATCCCAATAATGAAGTCCTACTATGGGATGAAGATTGTGCAGGCACTTACAGTCATGGATTTGATGTCTATAAGGAGCTGATGTTATAGTAGGCATATAGCAAGAGGAGGGAGCATAGTCAGTTTTAAAATACAGAGAAACTTTATCCCAGTCAAAATCAGAAGGTGACTTCTGTAGGCTGGAAAACCGTAGCATTTTTTTCAAAAGGTGAAATGCCAGCTGATTCAGAACATGGCATTTGAGGAAATGTGTAGGAATTTAATCTCAGTGAAGCTGTCAGATAACATTGATCTGTTAGTAGCTGTTAGAGTCAGAGCATGAATGTGTAAATCAGTAGGAAGACATCATCAGAATCTGGTACAGGGGCCATATTTGAGATTATCACAGCATGTACCAAGACATTTGCACTGTGAGCTGGAATGTCAGAAATCAAGACAAATGTAAATATCCTACACCTTTTATCATGATCTAGTTCCTATCTTTCTTTTATGTTTAGCCAGCATTTCTTTCTTACTCTGTCCCTTGCACACATTCACTCATCCTGCACTTTTCCCTTTGGCACTTCCCCTCCCAGCTTCCCTGCCCCTGACCAGCTATCACAGCCCGCCTGCAGGGGTCCCTGGGCTGCATGGGCAGTTGGGCACTGCTCACCATAGCAAATGACTGGATTGCTGTGGCAGTGGGAAAAGGGCCTGCAGAGACCTGCTGCCTGTACACAACCATTGCCCCTGCTCTGCTGCTGGGACAAGAAGCGATGCATCCCCCTGGGCAGGTCCCCAGGGGAAGGGATGTTCCTAGGGCTGTGCTGTGCATTGCAGTGCTGGGATACAGCCCACAGCCCTGCAGAGAAGCAGCACTATAGGCATGAGGAAAGGATGTGCTGGACATGTTTCAGATGGTTCTCAGTAGCCAATCTTGTCTGTTTATTAAAGCTATCAATTACATGTTTATAAACAATTTCAACAGGGAGACTTATGACCAGCCTGGGAGTAGGTGGCTTGGGAGAGAAGTCTTTTATTGTAATGGAACCAATACATTAAAAAAAAAGCCCAAACATCCCCAACTATTTTTTAAATTCAATTTTCCAGTTCATAATTGTATCTGCTGGTGCAATTGATGCTGGGAAGCTATTAACAGATGTGATCCATCAGAGCTTAGACGGAGCCATTCATATTGCTCCAGGCTAAAAGAGACTGTTTGAGTAGTCAGTTTGTCTTCCTGGATTTGACAAACCTTTGTCACTCACTTAGCCTTGTCTTGGGCCAGCAGTGTGTCTTGGCAGAAACCACATGCTCAAGAAAGGCATCCCATCTGATTTGGCAAAGCTGAAGAATCAGAGACTCCACTGTGTCCTTGGGGAGTTTGTGCAAAGGATTTACCATTTTCACCATTAAGTGCATGTGCTCTTATGTATCACTTTTCAGTTTTTAGTGTTTTCTCATGCTTTTCTGTTTTATGCTAAAGAGGCTGGTTTTGGTACCTGTGAGGGTAGCAATACATCATAGCCCAGCTATCTTGGGTTTTAGTTCTGTTTTGATAAGGTAGACTGGTCTCTCTGAGCATGGCGCTGTTACATTGGACACCAGCTTTCACTTGTCAGCCTCCTTCTCAACATGTGGCAGTCTGGGGAAAGTCCCATCAACACTGGTGGGATGAGTTTACTAGCACCCCTCTACCCAGTTACAGAGTTGCTTTTGTGTATGTGGCACATCAATAGATTTTTGCATAGCTCACACTGCTCACCCAAGAGTACAAGAAAATGCACAATATATCATGACTTTTCTATTTTTAAAGCATTGCAGCATAAGTCTAAATCACCATTTCTTGTGAGGGTCCTCCATATGCATTACTGTTGGCCTTGGGCACATCATTAACACTCAGCCTGCCTGAATCGTGTGTGTTTCTCCAGGCAGTTTTACTTTCCACAAAGTGGAAGTTGCCAGTGAAGAGTTTATCTGTAATTTACACACAGGTGAAGGGAAGGTGTGTTTGCAGGAAAGTAAGTGGGCTTCCATGTGGGAGTACAATGGTCCCACACATCCAACACCTGGCAGATGATGTTATTCTCTCCTTGGGGAATGGCCCCAAATGGTACGTGCAACTGCTTCCCCTGCCCCTCAGTGGGATGGCTGGTCAGCTCACCCATGCCTGTCCCGCCATTGCTTGTCCCGCTGGACAGCAGTGTTTGTATTCCCAAAATGTATGTGCCTTATTTTGCGTTGACCCTGTGAAAGAGAGGGACCAGGATGTGTTGCCAAATTTTCCTGATGAGGCTGTACTTGCCATTGAGCTAATAGCACATACCACTGTTAATAGTGTCTGAAACATCTTGTAAACCTCTGGTATTCATGTGTTATTGTCCTTGGATTGGTGGAATATCTCCTATGGAACAGTTACTCTTGTCAGTCCTGCAGATGTGTAAGATAAAAAAGTGTTGCTTTTTTTAAAATTTTTTAATTTTTTTTTTATAAAGCTTGTAATCCTTAAAAAAAAGAGAATGTGTAAATACATTTATGTACGGTAGGAATAGTGTTCAGTTGTAACAGACCTTAGTGTTCTTCATTTGATAAACCTGCAGTTATGATCTGATGTTTCTCAAGCCTTAGGTTGATCTGAAGGGTCTGTAGCACTGTGTACATATGAACTGTACTTCTGCTTTCAGAACCACTTAGCTTTTTTGTAACAAAGAAAAAAATGTTTCTTATAATGTCAATAAAAACAAAAGCCTTTGTACTTAAGTTCTTAGCTCTCAGCTTCTAAAATATCTCCTTTGGGGGAGGGAGTTATTTTTTCATACATCTGAAAAGCCTGGTTGCAATCAGCGCTTGTATCGCTTCCACTCAGAACTGCTTTCCTCTTTCTGCTTTCCCAGTCTGTTGCTTCACTCTATTCACAGTTTAAATACAGACGGGAAAACAAAACAGGGTGTTTACCTTCTTGCTGAAGAAAGATGGCTGAAGAGTGTTGGGTGGGAAATACAGTGTCACACAGATAAAGTGTGACACTTTGAAGAGAGGAGAGAGACTGACCTAGCTACCTTTGTTGCAGGAGCAGTCAGTTCAGAGGTCAAAGCTAAGCTGTGCTGAACTCTGAGCTGTTCTATGGGGGCTGTGTTTCCATCCCTTGCTTGTCAAGGGTGTCTCACAATGTCTTGCCCACCCATGAAGAAGCCAGGGAGGGAGGGAGGAAGAGAAGTTCTCCTGGCTGGGTTAATCTGTAGATGTCCACCCAGGTGGGTTACAGTGTGATCTGCAAAGACACAGTTATCTTCAACGCTGGACATATTTAATGAATGCTCCTGTTGAGTGCAGTTGTTATGGATGGTGTCAAGTTAGTGGTGGCAAACAGTATAGAAAATGCTGTAGCACTGCTTGGTCTTAAGGTGTCTGATCTGTTCTAATTTCAAAGCCTTTTTCCATTGCTGGTACCTTGGCAAGATCCAGAGCACTCTGTTAGCTGTCAGTGCTCAGCTTCTGCCTTGCCCCTTCCTCAGCCAAAATAGGTAAGCCATTTCCCAGGTGGTGGGTGATAAATTTGCATTGTTATTTGTTCATTTTAACTTCTTCTATTTTTGTGTGTATATGTGTCCTGTTGTGTTTTGTTGCTCACCAGTAAGTTTTTGTTGTTTGGCTCAGGCCTTAAGGTTTAGGAGGGACAAAGGGTGGAATGGAGAGCTAAAACCTAAAACATGCCCAGCTGAAAAGCCAGAGAGGCAGGAGAGCCCTGGGAGTGGCGTGATAGAGGTGAAGGAGACCCTGCAGTTTGAAAGGGAGGTTGATAGTGGCCATGGTGCCTTAGTTTATATGCTGCAATCATAAACTCTCCCAGAGACTGGCAGTGCTTCAGCATCAGCTCACTTTGGGGGATGGGTGTGTGTGACAGTGGCTTCCTCACAGATTGGACCAATAGAAGGTCAGCAGCAGGGATAGAACAAGCCTCAAAGACGTGATGGACAGCAGAGAAACGAGTAGTCTGTGGGGACTCAGGAGTCAGTAGCAGGATCCATGCTGACAACAGATGATGGCTGCCAGGGGCTTAGAACCGATAGAGGCATTTCTGAGTCTTACCAGCTGCCTTCAGGTAGTTGGAGGTGAGGAACTCCCACTTCTTACATGCCAGTGCAGTGAAGTCCTGCACACATGCACGCGTGCAAGAGCACTGTGCTAAACAATGTCATCAGCATTGCACGTCGGCTGCCGTAAGAGAACCCACACACCTGGACTGACAACCCCTCTCTCTGCTCTGTGCATGAAACTTGCACCACTACCTCTACCTTTAACCGACCCCTGCATGCTCATTTTCCAGCTGGATTTCCTCCACCAGCTGGATCTACTTCAGGATGAATGTCAAGAGGGCAGGAGATGCCAAGGGGCCCTCTGTCCTGTTCAGCATGTTGGTTATTTGCTGTGTGCTGCCATGTGCGAGGTCAGGTTATAGCATTTCCAGAGGTGAGTAGGGAAGGGCTGGGGCTCCAGGTCATATTCCTGATCCTCCAGCCTGACCTGGGATCGGTCTGATGAAAAGCTGCATGTTCAAAGCTGCAGCCGGAGACAGGAGGACCTGTGTTGCCATGTGGTAAAGCTCAATATAATGCCAAATTCTCAGGAAAACAAAAAATAGGAGGGCAGTCGTGGTTTGTACCATCCAAAATCAGCAGATGCTGTTGACCTTTAGTCTGCGCTTTAGTGCCAAAGCTGTAAATTAATTAATTTAATTCATTAAATTAGTTTCTTACTTCAAAGGGGCATGTGCCCAAGAGAGAACTGCAGTTTGCAAAGTCTGAAAAAAAATATGACAGATATATACAGCATCAATCAGCAAGGGAGGAGAACCCCCACCCCCCCCATAGTCCCCCAGTACCCTAAATAGGTGGCATGACATTACTACACTCAAATCCAAAGATGGGCAACCCAAAATCACCAATAATGTTAAGACCTGGCCTGCCATGGTCAGGAATGAAGCAGGGTAAGAGCAGACCGTGCTGATGGAGTTACTGGTCTGGCTGGGTGTAAGCGATGGCACTGTAGGGCAGCCCAGTATAATATTTTTCCTTTCCCAGCTTTTGTGGGCTTGACTGTGTAATCTTCAAGCTGCTTTTTCAAAGAGAGGGTAATGGGAAAGAGACAACTTGTCCTCTTCAGGCTGAAACAGAAGTTATTTGTGTTAGGAACATGGCTTTGTTACATGATTAGTGCAATGGGAGCCCCTAGGCACCACTTCCCAGTACAAACAACTAGTATTAATAACTCATGTTAAAATTGCCTGCTATTTAATAACCTGGACCTCTTTCTACCCTGAGAAGCACATAACTGCTTTGTGTTCCCACCATCTCTGCCCATCTTCCCTCTAGCTTTGGACTCTCCCTGCTCATTTCCCAGGGTAAAAAGGAGCAGGTTTGGGCAAGGCAGAAGGATGAGCTGACAGTGTTTAACAGGAATCCTTGCAATCCATGTCTGTGCATCTGATGTGAGGCTGCTCATTGCTGCCATGCCTTGCAATCTTGGTCCCTTGTTTTCCCCCATGTTCTGGGGACAGAGTGACCTATTTCATGCCTCGCCAAGGAAGCAGCCGCCCTCCCTCCGAGCTGCCCCAGCTGGCTGAGACGTGATAGACCAACAACACTGTTACTTGTGGGTGGGAGCCCATGTGAGTCACGCTTCCCTTCGCCCCACACGCGGCGTGGCTGCGGCGGGTGAGCGGGGAGCCGAGCCGGGCCTGCATCCCGCGCACGGCCACGCACAGCAGCCGCACCCTTGGGCCCAGGTGGGAGCAAGAGGCAGTGGGTAGATCAGATGGTGATGAGCCATAAACAGGATCGTTTCCCATCGGCTGGCTGAGCTGCTCCAGGCTTTGCCTGCAGCACTAGGATGGCTGTCATGTTTGCCAGGCGGTCTCTAAGCCACCCTGCTCTGCACAGAAACATTACTAATGTTCCCACAACCAGAGCAAGAGAGAAGAGACAAATAATTTGGACGGCAGCATGAAACAGTGGCACAAATCTGGAAGACAGAGGAGGAGAGAGGAAAAAAACAAGAGGGCGGAAAGCTCTATAATGACTGAAAGAGCCCCAGATGGATCCAAACTGAGAAAAGGCCAGAGACAGAAATAGTAGCGCTAATTAGCTGAGCTGAACGACCCCACTCCTACTGTACCTGAGCATCCTCTGCTGTCCTCAGAGCCCCGATGCTGCCAGCCATGAGAGAAGAGGAGTGGGAGCAGGGAGCTGCTCAGACCTGGATGAACAGAAGCAATTAAGTTCCTATAGCAACACTTAGTGAAAAATCCCAAAGCAGAAGCACCTATAGAGCTGCGTAAAAAAAGGGTTTTGGCTTCAGGCAGCATTCCCTGAGGGAGAACCATGAGAAATATGTGCTTCCCCATCCGGAGCATGGATCCTGCTGCACCTTTGCTGCTTGAAGACTTCCCGTTTCCATTATATGAGCAGCCAGCCCTTCCATGACATAGGAAAAGTTCACTTTGCCTATTTTGCCTTGAGGCAGTTTTGTTTTGAAGTCCTACAGCACATCCCACAGTGCCAAGGTATTATAGCAATATTTTCACTGGCAATTTTCTTATCTGGAAGGCTTTTGCTGGGGAAGGGCAGATATATCTCATCCCTGTCATTGCTGACCACCTCAGCCTCCAGTCAGCTGATTTCAGTAAACTCCTTCAGCTTTGTCTGTGGGACCCCATGGCATGGCATTGCTTAAATATAGTTTTTTGGATGGAGCTTCAAAGAATAAATGGTCTGCATCATCCTGCTTCAGAAGCTGAACTTGAGCTCGCATCAGAAATTTACAGATGTAAAAGAGGGCCTAAAATCCCAAAGTCATACCTTTTGTGAAAGAAATCATCAGGCACTGAATCCTCAGAGCTGTGTAGTTCAGTGGCAAAGGCCCCAGTGCCCATTGCTGCCCCCAGAGGCTCAGGGTTGGTGCAACAGAAGCGAAGGACTGCAGGGCTGCCGTAAGTGGCAAAGTGTGCTGCAGCATGTGTGGGCACTGGGCTTTGTTCCCTTCCAGCAATAGTAGATCAAGCTGCCCTTTGCAGCCATACAAAGATGGGAGGAGCAGCGTGTTCCCCAGGGCTGCTGTCTCCTCTTCACATCACCTTTGGGGAAGGCAAGCTCCTGTGGCTGATCCAGCTGGCAAGAGCTCTCCATTGGACACCATTAGTAGGACACACCATGCCTTGCTTGTTTTTCTGTTGTAGGGAATTAAAGGAATTAATGTCACTTTGAAGTTTGCAGTCCAGTGTCCCAGTCCAGGCCCACCCTGTGGCCTCACTGCAGGCTGGCACAGTGTGAGCAAGCCCAATGGCACAGCTCCTACACCTGCCCTGTGTCCAGTCCTTCCCTTGTCTTGGATGCCTCTCCTTGCCTTTTCCTCCTCTTCTCAAGGCTGGGCTGTAGCATAGTGGAAAACCAAAAATGCTGCATGCTATTTTTTGCTCTTGTTGGCTAGTCTCTTGGAGATTGCTGCTGTTTTCTCCCAATTACAGAAAATGCTTGAAGCTGTGTACAGGCTTAGCCACACAGTCAGGGAGGCAGCAATGCCTTTCTTAGCTCTGTGGAGTGCAGTCTTGAACCACTGTAGTGCTTCTTGCTTACCCTTGTACCCTGAGACATTTTAGGTTTCAGTCTTAGGTTTCAATTGCTCTTCACCTGAGCTCTGCTTGGCATGGGCAGCCGGAAAGTGCCAGGCTCCAGTTTAGCTGGAGCATTAGCAGAGAAAAGGAA